GTCTCATCTTTGTTCATGGCATTTTGATGTTTCGATGACTGCAGGTAGTCAGGGTTGTTATCTTGACTCTTAGGAATTTGCTTTCCAAAGGGACATATGGTGCTCAAATGGTAGACGTGGGAGTGCTGCAAATTGTACAGAACCTGAAAGGACAGGCTTGGAGCGATGAGGTGATACAACCATTTTTTGGCTTTTGTCTCAATAATTATTTTGTTCTATATAAGAAGCAAATCCTAAAAAATTCTGGGAAAGTTGAAATAGATAAAATTAACGTCAGTGCTCATTGTATGGAGAGACGGTGACTAAATATTTTCTGTGTCCCCGTATTTCCTTAATAGACAGTACTTAATCATGTTATGTTTATTTATAATCTCGCTAGGACCTTTTGGACGCTCTGAATCAACTTGAAGAAGGATTGAAGGACAACATCAAAAAATTAAGTTCATACGACAAGTACAAGCAGGAAGTCCTACTTGGCAATCTTGATTGGTCTCCCATGCATAAAGATCCTCTATTCTGGAAGGAAAACATAAATAATTTCGAGGAGAATGGATTTCAGGTAACGCCTGTGGCTTTTCACATTCAAGCTTAAAGGCTGTAAAATGCTATTACTGTTATGCCTTTTCTTTAAGAAAATAACAATCTTGCAGGTTGATTAACTGCCCAACCAAACTTGTTAACCTGAATTTATTCGTCTTCGACTTTCTGCTGGCTTTGACTTAGTATATCTGCTACTTGAACTCAAAAAACTTTAATCGTGTCTAAGTAGTCATTGCTAGCAGTGGTACTCCCTCCGTTTTATTCATAAGGCGGTGTTCGATGTGCATGGAGTTTAAGAAAGAAAGAAACACTTTTGACACATACCAAAAGTACATTTCTATGGCTTTTTAATAGCCCGTTTGGCCAAGCTGCAAAAATCAGTTTATTCTGAGAAGTGCTTTTCTCAAAAGTACTTTTGGTGAGAAGTAGTTTGGGTTTGGCTAATTAATTTGAAAAACACTTCTGAGCAGCAATTAGTGTTTGGCCAAGCTTTAAAAAACTGCTTCTAAGTGTATTTTTCTCAAAAGTACTTTTGGTGAGAAGTAGTTTGGGTTTGGCTAATTAATTTGAAAAACACTTCTGAGCAGCAATTAGTGTTTGGCCAAGCTTTAAAAAACTGCTTCTAAGTGTATTTTTCTCAAAAGTACTTTTCAAAAAAGTGTTTTTAGAGAGAAGCTACTTTTTTCTGCTTCTCCAAAACTGCTTCTGCTTCTCCTCAAAAACATTTTTTTTCCTTTCAAAAGCTTGGCCAAACACCTTAATTTGAGGAAAAAAGGGACTTTTGACAAACAAAAAAAAAAGCGTTTTTGCCTCAAAAGAAGCTTGGTCAAACAGGCTATAAGACTATGTTATAAGGGTATAATGGAAACTATAAAAGTTAGAGTTTCCAAATATAGAAAGTACCCTTCTTTTTGGAACAGACCAAAGAGTAAAGAGTAACAACAACAACCCGGTAAAATAACACAAGTGGGGTCTGGGGAGGGTTGTGTGTACGCTGACCTTATCCCTACCCCGGGAGTATAGAGGTGGTTCCCGAAAGACCCTCGACTCAAGAAGACGAAAAGAAATAGTAGAACAGTAAACTAAAGAGGAAAGAGTATCATATAAAATGAGGCATAGGCAGTAATAGTCAGTTAGTGTGGTGGTGATCGTAGTAGCTTTCTTGTTGGTATCGTCCCTTGTTATTCTCTTGAGCGTACAAATAACAAATCAATCCGACAACTTCTGTTCTGGTATTAGAGTGATGATCGTCGTTGTGTTGCAGATCTTGAGAGTGCTTATGACAATTTTGGATACATCAAGTGATGCAAGGACACTTGCTGTCGCTTGCTACGATTTGTCACAGTTCATTCAGTGCCATCCTGCTGGGCGAATCATAGTGGCCGACCTCAAAGCTAAGGAACGGGTAATGAAACTATTGAACCATGAAACTGCAGAGGTGACGAAAAATGCCTTGCTTTGCATCCAGAGGCTTTTCTTAGGTGCCAAATATGCCAGCTTTTTGCAGGCTTAATTATCTTCAACTGGCTTCATTCCTTAAACAAGCTATACATATCTTGTTATTTCACTTGACACAAGTTTGAGAGTGGTCATGTTCTATTTATTCATTTTATCTTATTATTGTTTAATGAGATTGGAGCGACATGAATTGTGAAGATTCATACAGCTGACTCCAACCTAGTTGGGACGGGTGTAGTTGTTATTGTTTGATGTGCTTCTCACTCAGAAGAATGCCTTATTCTATCCAATAAATCATTTTTTGTGTGTATTATTTATTCAATTGGAGAATAGTGGTAATCAACACAAGACACCCTTTATTAAGGGGTGTCGTTCAGCATCACTTTGCAAAATGTTTCTTTACATATGCATATGTAAATATTTTCTAATAAACAATGTCTATATATTAATATGTCGACGTCACCTGACAAATATTAATTTAGGACGAGTAAAACCTTAAATTAAACCACCATACTTCCAAGTCCAAAACTTACAAGATAACTATTTCTGCAAAATTCTACGTGCGCCACTTGAAATTCCAACAACCCCATATACATCCCAAGCTAACAGAGAAAAAACATGCCATGTTAGTGTATAACACCAAAATTGTACAAAAATATATTTTTGAAGAAATAAACTTTCACTATCTCAAGTAAATAATTTCTTCTTGACCATTCAGCGCAGAATACATCAAAATCTACCAAAAACAGCCAGTTGAGGTAACTGATCTAAAAAGGACATGTGGCATTCTATGAGTCACTTCCAACTCAATGACATTAAGTACAAACTTGGAAGCTTTTGATGACATTATTTTATTTGAAGTTTTATTACGTTGAATTCACACCTATTGTGTAAAAAACTATCATTCATATCATTAAACTGTAAGCCATAACGATCGTGATATTGTTTTGAGTTAAACTTTACACAATTATAGTTTAAAAGAACTTAATATTATCATGTTCCTGAACTATAACTATAATTTACCATCCATAAAAATAGTGGGAGTTCAAGGCACATAAGTCCATAGTGGACCATAACAAACCACCACGCTCTGCATCCGTCGTTCTCGAAGTTGTGCGCTAGACCTTTCTAGCCTCGGGCGAACACTGCAATACTGGCGTACCATCCATGTCACGTTGGACACAACGAGTGGTAGATGGCTATGATACCATTGATGCAATCGAGGGAGAACCACATCTCAAAAGCTAGCTATTAAGGTGGGAGAGACCAATGTCATATAAATCCCATATTAGCACATTGTAATATCGATATGGGACTCAAGTCAATACCTTGCAATGGGCCATAACAAGTAACTTTGAAAAATAAAGTACGTTACTTGCTACAATTACTCGTTAAAATATTATACTATCAGTGTATATTTGGTCCCATCATTGAGGTTATATCTTGAAGTAGATGATTTAGGAGGGAAATATCTCTATCCATACGATTAATACCAAAAGTAAACACCAGCTCTAACTGCTAAAAATGATTTTAAACATTATGATTAAGACTACTGAATCAATTTAAGCCTTGGCAATGCATGGCTAGTTTCATAATCTAATAATCTTGACCCCTATAAATTTCATACCATATACTAACATGTTTCTTATAATGTCATTAACAACCCAACATCTCCTCAAACACCAGTTTAATTCATCTAACTTCTTCAATCTTATTTCTTTCTAAAATGGCTAATGCTCGTATTGGAAAGTTTGTTACTGAAACAGCACCACCACAGTTTGTTAATGTAATGAGAAATCGAACATCAAAGATGTTAGAGACGATCAAAGAAGATGACAGAGAAGCAGCAAGCTCAAACGAGTCATCAATTTCTTCCAACTATTCGACTTCATCTTCAAAATCTATGAATTCTAAGTATTTTTTTAAGAAAGTTCAAAGGTCTTTTCCTTTATTTGGAACTAAAGCCTCTTCTTAGTAACCAATTAGGTTTACGACGAAACCTAGAAATCCATCACTGATCCAATTTGAGTACCTCTACGGGATAGAGTTCAACAGAAAACTGAAGAGTAACGGCCTTGCTACTGAGCTTCTTGTGCTCCATCTTTCTTTATTGTAGGGTATTTCTTTATTAATGTTCAAAGTTTAGGGTTTAGTTCTTTTTATTAATGTTAGTTCCACTGTCCGCAGAATTTGGATAGAAATTAAAATGACTAGAGTCCAAGACTTGCTGAGACTAGATAAATGTTGATGAAATATAACTAAAGATAAATGAGTACTGGTTAAGTTTGTATGGTAATTTTATAATGTATCGTATATTACAAAAATAACATAACCTATGTGATCTCATAGGTAAGGTCTCGGGAGGATAGGATGTACGCAGACCTTACTCTTATCTTGTGTGAGATAGAAAAAATATTTCCAATAATATTGTATCGTATATATCCATCCAAAATCAGTCATAGTGAAGCGAGATATATGTTACTCTGTATTTTTCATTATTATTCTCTTTGCACGATATTTGGTTGAAATTTAAAAAACGATAAAGTATTTGAAGTTAAAAGTAGAAAAAATGAGTATTTAAAAGTTAAGTTGTGTTTGAATAGAGATTTTCACTAAGAAGAGTATTTTTAACCTTAGTCAAAAGTAACTGAATAAATTCAGACTTTTTTCGAAGTATTTTAACACGTGTTAAGATTTTGATCGAGTTCAAAGCTCACAGTTCAGTTAGAGATGATAGGGGTTCAAAAAGCTCAATGTAAACGAAGGTAAAATTAAATTATTTCGTATAGTAAAAGGGTGAATTTGAAAAGTAAAAAAGAAATTGTCCTCGCTTAGGGTAAGTCACAATTTGATGCAAACACTAGATGCGGATTTTATTTGGTTACCTTCGGCTTGCCTAAACAAACACTTGAATCTAGGAATACATTTTTTGAAATATAAATAAAAAAACAGTCATAAAATGAAAAGAATTTTTTTCATCTGAAAAATCTCATTAGAGGAAAGAAAAATTGATTTCTTTTACTTTTCTTCCCTATCTGATTATCTTCCTCTAGTGAGGTTTTTCTATTTTCTTTTATATCCTTTATCAACATTCACATATCTTTGAATCCTGTTATGTTTTTTTTTTAAAGAAAGAAAGAAAGTAAATCTATCATTCGTTGAAAGAATATACATATGAAGTTTTCTTCAAGCCTGTAAATGATGACTTTGGAATATTTTGTATTTGATATAAATATAAATATTTTAGACATTTCTTGTTGGATAGTATTAAGTTGATCAAAATCCAAACATGGATTTATCATGATCATGATAAAAATTGAATCTTTGGAACATTAAGTGCAATTAGATCCTTTTTTTGAGGCCTATATTCATTACTAGCATCAATTATCAATCATTTTGTTGGGTATAATCTCCTAATGATTCCCTTATTATAGACACAAGCAAGATTATTATTACATTCTTTTTTTGGGTTATGTTCGAAACCCCTATTCTGTTCCTGAGACGAGGGTCTACCGGAAACAACATCTCTATCCTCGTAAGATAGGGATAAGGTCTGCGGATACACTACCCTCCCTAGACCCCTGGATTACATTGGGTTTGTTGTTGTTGTTGTTGTTTGATGTTTGAAATTGGCATGGCAATGTCCAAAATCGACGTCGAATTGTTACAAGAAACACTTTATGTTCAAGAACAACTTATAGAGAAGCTATACAATGAGTTGGATGAAGAAAGTGAAGCCTCAGCTAGTGCTGCTAGTGAAGCGTTATCGATGATTTTACGTCTTCAAGGCGAAAAAGCAGCAGAGGAAATGGAAGCAGAACAATATAAGAGATTTGTAGAGGAAAAAATGTGCCATGCAGAAGAGTCATTATCCATTTTTCAAGATCTTATTCATAAAAAAGAAATGGAAATAGTTGCTTTAGATTATCAAACACAAGCTTATCGATATAAGTTATTAAGTATGGGCTGTGATGATATTGAATTTAATGAGGATTTGTTTCATAAGAATGAAAGTTTTGATAAAGAAATGTGTGTTCAAGCTATTGGGAGGTGTAAATCTGCTCCAAACATTCCATTGAAATATGCTAAGCATATAAAGGGAATTCTTGATAAAGATGAATATATCAGTCAAGAACGCGATTTGAATGATACTTCAATGGATGGAAGTATAAATTTATACTGTGAGAAGATTGAACAGTTGGAAGAAAGAGTGAAACAGATTGCTGGTGCTAACTATGCAAAATCGTGCAGTAGTGAGATGAGGTCACATTTATCACTTTCTCAAAGGAGCTCTTGTAACAATTTCCTCGATGCTTACCTAGTTAAGCATCGAGGAAATAAATCAGAAAATGGAACGTCTGTTCGTTCTGTTTCTCCTCCGAATGTTCTTGATGTATTTGAAGTCCCTCGAGCTATTAAAGACGACGATAAGATGATTTGGAAGAGTGATGAAAGACAAGATTCTGTCGCAAAAAAGGATGTAAAACAACTTGTTAAAGATGAAACTGATTGCCTTAAGAAATATTTAGTGCCTATGCAACATGAGAAGAAGTTACATAAAGTAGGTGAAGCTTCTTCCCTTGACTGTCATTTGGCAATTTGCACTACAACTAGTGCTACAGAAACAGCAGAGATTCGTCGTCTCAATAGGATGTTTGAGATAGCTGAAGTTGAGACAAGGCAAGAATCCGACAGACACGAAGAACTAATGTTGTTACATGATATTAAGGAGCAAATGAATTTGATGCAATCTGAAATTAGAAGTTGGAAAAATAAGAAGTCCCCTACAAGAGATCAGTTATCTGTAGTTTCTCTAACAGAGGTATTACTCTCTTTTACTACTTTGTTTTGTATATATTTTGCTTGCAATAAGTCTGTATATATGTGAAAATCTTGACAATATGTTAAAATGGTGGACAGGTAATGGTTTGCTTTTGGCTCTGATATCAGCTATCAAAAAGCTTTCAAATTCAAGATGTTGAAACTTGTACTTATTATGCTTTTTTTGAGTATTGTAACAGTCCTTTTGGCATTTTACAAGAATGGCCACAAAAGGGTGATTCGATTATAAAATTGATCATTAGTGAATTGTAAATGTTGTATGTTTCATGAATCTGCAACAACTTAATTTACCACATCAAGAACATGATATCAACATGATATTTTGCTTTGAATTTCCCTCTATCTTCTTGTGAGTTTTGGTTGTAAGTTATCTCTACTGCAGTTTGTAGTTTAAGCTAGAATATTTGCACTGACTAGATAGATGTTTATGCTCGATTGGATTTTCACAGGTGCTTCTCTTAAATTATCCGACCATATCATCGAAAAACTTAACATGTTACATAGTAAAAAAATTTTAAAAACTATTTCTTACTGTGCTCCATCGTGTGGATCTGATTCTTTTTCTTGCGTCAAGCACGTTGAAATACTTTTTTGGTCAATAGGTGGTGGTGGGACTTCAATATACGACCTTTATTGATATGGTATTGAATTGTAAAAAAAAGGGCACCGCGGTGCACAAGGCATCTAGCATTCACATAGAGTCCAAGGAAAGGTCGCACAAACGGGGTGTGATGTAGACAGCCTAATCTAATGCAAGCATTAGCGACTACTTCTACAGTTCGGTCACACAGAGATAATTTTACCGTTGCTCCAAGGCTCCCCTCGTGAATTGTGCAACAATTTATTTAGAAAGCTTGAATTGTAAGGAATATTTTTTTAGATTGCTTAATTAGTAGTTAACAGATTTCTTGGTTCAAGGGAAAGTCAAACACCACCTTATAGAAAATGATCATATCTGCAGAAATTTAGTGAAGCATGAATCCACTCTTTATTGTAGAACAAGTCATCTTGCATACATAGAGGGATCTCTTAATTAGTTCATTTCTCAGATTTGTATATCACATGTTGTCTTAATTATACACATTTGTCAAGCTGAGTGGCGCGCGTTCATTTGTGTTCAATCTTTAAAATGCATAATAATAACAACAAAGAAGTATGAGAAGTCTTATTGTTGTTACTGCTTCTTTGACTTTTTCACTACTGTATTTTTATCAGCTATGATTATGCATACTTGCTTTGAGTCGAGGGTTTATCGGAAACAACCTCTCTACCTGCATAAGGTAGGGATAATGTTGTGTACTCTGTACCCTCCCTAAACCCCACTTGTGAGATTACACTGGGTATATTGTTGTTGTAAAGAAGTATGAGAAGTATGAAACAAGTATTTATGCAGTTAATCCTAAATTCATTTGTACATTATCTATTTCTCAGTTATTTTCTGCTTCTTCCTATGGCTACCAACACATCAGACAATATTGATCAGCTCTTTGTTCTTGGTCGCTTCATCGCTTCTGATAATATACCAGTACACTTCCTCTGCCTTGCTGATCGGAACCAAGATTTGAAACTGCGCGTACAAGGTGATCTCAGGGCCTCAAACATCCATTTCCATGACATTTTAGTACCTTCTTCTCTGGCAGAAATAGAATATGCTGGTGATGGTCTGCCTTCGATTGTATTAAAAGCCTCGTTGAGCCCATTCGAAGAACATGTATTGCTCTCTCTGCCAATGCAAAGAGTTTAGTCATAATTCATGACTCCAAAATGATGGATCATGTGAGGGATGTTCATTCACGAACGTAAAGTCTTATATGTTCCACTCCATTTCAGCTTTTGCCAGATATTCTTTGCTCCGACAAAGTATTAATGACATACTTGATGATGATCATGACAAAATGATCAGGCAAATGCAGGATGAGTTTCCGTTGTTGGAGAGTTCGGGGGCACAATTTGCGATAATGTTACTTAGAAAGCTCAACTCGGGAGAAATCATGAACTCCTGCAGAGAACTAGAAGGTAAGTACTTAGATTTACTTGCCAATGCAAAAGACAAGCCATGGTTGGCTGTTGGTCCACTTCATATGCTGCTAGAATCGCACGACTCTAACAACAAGAATCGTCATGAGTGCCTAGAATTTCTCGACAAGCAAGATGTTAATTCAGTAATATTCGTTTTCTTTTGGAACAACCGCTACATTCTCACAAGAGCAAGTCAATGAGCTCGCGCTTGGTTTAGAACAAAGCAACTATAGGTTCATTTGGGTACTAAGAGAAGCGGATAAAAAGATGGAAAATGAGAAATTTGAAGAGAAAGATGGGAAGATTGAAGAAAGAAGGAAAGGAAGAGGAATGGTGGTGAGAAATTGGGCACCTCAGTTGAAGATCTCGGGGCACCCGTCTACAGGTGGGTTTTTGAGTTGTATTGAGAGCATTAGCATGGGGTACCTCTTATTGGGAATAAATCCCCGGCAGAAATAATATTTACGGTAATAAAAGCGGAATAATAACGTAACACTAAGATACGGTAATTAACAAGAATAAAAGGGTAACAACGACACCAAGATTTTTACGTGGAAAATCCTTTTGAATAAGGGAAAAAACTACGGCACCGAGAGGAGCAACTGATATCACTATAGCAAGAAAATTTTATACTTTGTAGGTCCGAGTAAAATACTCAAAAGACCACTACAACACTCAAAAGAAATAATCCTCTTTTGATATTCCACCTTACTACAATATCGCCCACTCTCTATTTTTTCTTACAGACTATTTTCTTATATCCTGTCTGTGAAACCTCACTCTTTCTTTCTAACTCTCAGATATATTTTTCCTCTGAGATTGATGTGTAGAGATGAGAGCCGAAGCTCTCCTTTTATAGGCGGAGCCTCACTCAGCCTCACTCTCTCACGCCTACTATATTTGACATTTTCCTTCAATTGTTGACAATTCAGAAACGATGGCTGCCAATTCAAAGAAAAAGACTTAGAAGTCTTTATCAAAGGACTTAAATCATGGGATGGACCCCACAAATCTCCCCCTCCAGTCCCATTCACCTGAAGGAGGTAACACCGAAGATTCTAGTTTGAGTGCATGCCGACAAGTTCTTTGCATAGCTCAAACTTGTCTCTTGGTACTACCTTGGTCAGCATATCCGAAGGAATCTCACTTGTATGGATCTTCTTGACCTGCATAGATCCATCCTCTATCCTTTATCGAATCCAGTGATATCTTACGTCGATATGCTTCGTCCTTGTATGATACATGGTGTTTTTGCTCAGGTCTATTGCACTTTGACTGTCACAATAGACGACATACTCATTTTGATGTAATCCAAGCTCTCGAAGGAACCGTTTCAGCCAATCCATCTCTTTGCCAGCTTTAGTAGCGGCAATATACTCTGCTTCAGTTGTAGAGAGTGCAACACACTTCTGCAACTTCGACTGCTATGATATAGCTCCACCTGAAAATGTGAACAGGTATCTTGTTACGATTATCAAGATCATCTGTCATATCAACATCCGTATAGCCCTTCAAGATTGGATCAGATCCTCCAAAACACAACCAATCTCCTACAGTACCTCTTAGGTACCTAAGTATCTACTTGACTGCTTCCCAATGTTCCTTTCCAGGATTTTCAAGAAACGTGCTGACAATACCAACTGCGTGAGCAATATCAGGTCTAGTACATACCATTGCATACATCAAGCTTTCGACTGCTGAAGAATAAGGAACTCTAGCCATGCTCCCTTTCTCCTCCACTGTTGTAGGACACATCTTCTTACTCAGCTTTAGATGACTAGCAAGAGGTGTGCTTATTGGCTTAGCATTCTTCATGTTGAAGTGTTCCAGTACACGTTCAATGTACTTCTCCTGAGACAACCACAACTTTCTGCTTGTTTGCTCTCGAACTATCTTCATACCGAGAATTTGTTGTGCTGGGCCCAAGTCCTTCATATCAAATGACTTAGACAAATCTGCCTTCAACTTTGCGATCATCCCTTTGTCTTTTCCTACATTCAACATGTCATCCACATACAACAACAATATAATAAAGTTATTATCAGAAAAACTTTTGAAGTATACACATGGATCAAAATATGTCTTTGTGTAAGTTTGACTTTTCATGAATGAGTCAAACTTATTGTACCACTGTCTTGGTGTTTGCTTCAACCCATAAAGACTCTTATTCAGTTTGCACACCATGTGTTTCCTTTCAGTTAGTTCAAATCCTTCTGGTTTCTCCATATAGATATCATCTTCCAAATCTCCGTGAAGAAATGTAATTTTCACGTCCAACTGCTCCACTTCAAGATCTAGGCTAGCTGCTAAGCTCAAAATTGTTCGAATAGAAGTCATTTTGACAACATATGAGAAAATTTCGTCAAAATTAATACATTTTTTCTGTTTGAAGCCTTAAACCACCAATCGAGCTTTATATCTGACCAACTTGCCATTTTCATCTTTCTTAAGTTTAAAAACCCACTTACATTTGAGTGGTCTTTTACCCTTTGGAAGTTCAACCAGCTTGTACGTGCCATTTTTCTCTAGAGATTCCATCTCTTCTTACATGGCTTTCATCCACTGGTTCTTTTCTGGATGGGACAATACCTCTTTAAGTCTTTCTGCCTCCCCCTCATCACTGATGAGGACATACTCTATGACAGAGTACCTGCATGACTCTACCCTTGGCCTTTCTGATCTCCTCAGAGGTTGAGATTATTCTTCTCCCTGAGTGGGGTGCTCCACTTGCTCGACATCATCATCAAGTTGCTCCCCCTGTTCAATAACCTTACCAGGTTGCTCCCCTTGCTCGGCAACCTCGCCGGTCCTACTTTCTGCACTTGTGGGATTGTTAGAAGTAGAAGGGATAGTAACAAGGTTAGGAATTATACCATTCTTAGACTTCTCTAGCATATCATTATCAGTTCCAACTTCTATTTCTCGGAAGATTACATCTCTGCTTTTGATGACCTTCTTCTTTACAAGATCCCACAATATATATCTAAACTTTTCATCTCCATATCCGATGAATATGCAGGGAACATATTTATCATCCAGTTGTGTTCTCTGCTCCTTTGATACATATGCAAAAGCTTTGCAACCGAACACCTTCAGATGCGAGTAGGATACTTCCTTGTTGGTCCAATCTCTCTTTGGGATGTCAAACGCCATTGGAACTGATGGACTCATATTGATCAGGTAACAGGCTATCTGAACTACTTCACCCCAAAATGACTTAGGCAGTTTAGCCATTCTGAGCATGCTTCTCATCTTCTCCACAATGGTGCAGTTCATCCTTTCGGCTACGCCATTGTGTTGTGGGGTTCCAGGAACTGTCTTTTCATGTCTGATCCCATGGCTCGAACAGTACTCTCAAATTCCCTTGAAGTGTACTCACCTCCATTGTCACTTCGGAGACACTCTGTCTCCCTTTCCACAGAACATGAAACTTCTCGAAAACTTGAAATACCTAATCTTTGGATTTTAAAATATAAATACATAATTTTCGTGAAGCATCATCAATCAAAGTAACAAAATATTTGTTACCGCCCATCTATTCAATTTCCATTGGACCACAAACATCAGAATATACCAAATCAAGTATATTCAATAATATTTCAAACGATGTGTGAAATGAGACTCTATGCTACTTACCAAATAAACAGTAGTCACAAGGGTTTACCGTTGTACCTTTGGCATAAGAAATGAGTGATTTCTTGGCAAGAATCTGCAATCCCTTTTCGCTCATATGACCCATTCTTTTGTGCCACAAATCTGTAAAAATCTCATCTTGTGCCGCGTTCAATTCACCTTGGCATATTTCTGTATTTGTCTTGTACAACGTGCTACGAGCAACTCCCTTTGCAACCACCAATGATCCCTTGGTGAGTCTCCACTTTTGATTTGCAAAATAGTTCTCGTATTCATCTCGGTCTAAAGCTATTCCCGAGATCAAGTTCATTCGCAAATCAGGTACATGTCGCACGTCCTTCAGAACCAATATGCATCCGACATTTGTCTGGATACAAATGTCATCAATCCCCGCAATCTTTGAGTAACTTGTGTTACCCATTCTCACAAGGCCGAAATCACCTGCTACATATCTGCAAAAAAGATCTCTTACCGGTGTGGCATGGTAAGATGCTGATGTATCAACCACCCATTCCGACTTTAGACCTGATAAATACATGTATTCCTCTTTCTCGTTTATAAAGAGGACAACATTATCATTATTTTGCACCATGGCGGCTGTACTGTCGTCATTCTTCTGGCCACTAGTTTCATCTTTTCGCTTCCTTGAATTTGGGCAATCTCTTCCCACGAGCTCCGGATCTACCATAGTTGCTCGAACTCCTTTGATAACTCCTGCCTCTACCTTCTGTGATGAGAGCATGTCCTTGATTTTCAGGCTTCTTTCTCATCTTCTTATTGAGTTGAAGAGCCGATATGACATCTTTCAACTCAATGGTAGTCTTACCGTGCAGGATGGTTGCTTCCAGATTATCGTACCAAGATGGCAACGAGTTCAACAACAAGATGACTTTATCTTCTTCCTCGATTTTTCACTCCGAAATTGGTGAGCTGTGTGATTAGTCCGTTAAACACATTTAAATGTGACAAAAAATTCGTACCTTCACCCATGTGTAGGGCGTATAGCTGCTTCTTTAGGTATAATTTATTTGTTAGCGTTTTGGACATGTATAGGCTTTCTAACCTTGTCTAAATGCCACGTGTGGTGTCTTTATCAATGATGTTATTTACCACATCATCTGATAAGTGCAACCTGATTGCACTAGCAGTCCTTTAATCCAAGTCAGCCCAATCCTTAGCTTTCATGGTATCAGGCTTTTTGGCATCACCATCTAGTACCTTGTTTAATCCTTGTTGGATGAGCAGATCCTTCATCCTTCTTTGCTATGTTGAGAAACCATTATCTCCGTTGAATTTTGCTACCTCGTACTTTATTCCGAATATTTTTTTTTACTGAGTATAGTACTACCGATAGTGAATAGTACTTCTGTGAGCGAACATAACCTGTGCTCAGATACCAGTTATTGGGAATAAATCCCCTACAGAAATACTATGCACTGTAATAAAAGTGGAATAATAACGTAGCACTGACATACGGTAATTAACAAGAATAAAAGGGTAACAACGACATCAAGATTTTTACGTGGAAAACCCTTTTGAATAAGGGGAAAAAGGGCCCCGAGAGGAG